AGTTCGCATAAATTTTGACGTGGTGGACGTGTCCCGTTCGCTTTTAGAACAAATGTGACAGTGTCAGTTAATTTTTCAACGGCACGGATTTAAAGGACGTGCACTATCACTTTCAGACAGTATCAATTAATTGTTAAAGCAGCGTGGGATTTAGCTGAAATCGACTCGTCGAAATTTATCGCGGTTGCGTTTAAGGGCGAAAGGCAGGCGACGATCGGCGGCCGAGAACGTCAAGTTGTCGCCCATAGGGAAGAAATGGCGAGGTGGTGGTGCATCTACTACGTGGGGAAATGATCGTTACGTCGTGCGTTACTCCCTCGACGTCGATCAATCCGACGGATTACGCATGTCCTGGCAGCTGCGCATCCTTCCTGGGCGTTCCAAAGAGGCCGCCAATCGGCGAAACCCCCTAATGCCATCCATCCGGCGGGCTGGCCAATGACAGGGCTGGGGTGTATCAGCGCGGGTGTCATCGGGCCACTCAGACCGCGCGATATTATCATCGTCGTTAAGAGAGCCGGGACCCGCGGCGCGGCGGGGCGGCCAGCAGGGGTCGGTAGGGGACGGACGGGAGGGTGGTGGTGGCGCACGTTGGTCATCGATCCTACGACTCTGGGAATCGACGCCGCCTCAGGGTAGCTTTGACCGGAATTCGAAGCTCGATATCTGACGGACGGGGTAAGTAAGTGGAAGAGGGCGAACGTAACAGTTTAATCCAGCCGCCAGCCATATCCGTTGACTCGCACATAATGCGCGATATCGGCGAAAAATGGCACGCTATTCGCGAATGATAATTTAGTTTATCTTTACGCGATTCCGCGTGTGAGCGATACGGGAACGCGATCTAAAAAAAATAACTTTGCGATCTAAAAAAAATCATTAGTGTCCGGAAACGAGATCGGTTGGGCTTGAAGATTTCTTCGCGTCCTCCGAAGAGATTAGAGCAGGGAAATACGTTGGCCGGTCTACCTGCCTCCGACCTAATAACTTTATAGAAATGGTGGGTGCACCTTGCACACTCTTTTTTCGTAGATTCCTTATCCTCCGCGGTCGTCTCTCCATAAATTACAATTTCATCCATGAGATTAATATTTGATCGAGGTGCCGCCGCCGTGAAATCTGCGGTGTTATAGCCGCAGCAAAAAGACGATTTCTAGGCGAAAGAAAAGGGCAGGAACGCGTTCCTAATATCTTTGATGGATCGACAGGCGGCAGCTGCATATTTTAGGCGAGATCATCATTGAGAAAACAAACAAGAAAGAGAAAGAATCTTTTCTGCACGCAAGCATCTCTGCTTCATCCTTTCATTTGCAATAAAACGTTATACAAGTAAATTAACCGGACAACAATCGTGCCAAAATCTCACATGTTCTGACTCTCTTAGCGAAAAGGCGTCGGACAGAAATCTTAACGACATCCTTCCACGTTATTGCCTAATTGCGAAAAATGTCGGACCTTTGGGTAATATGCCGTCAGCGAAAACTGAAGTTTGTCAGATAAGCCCGGGCGGACACGAAGGGGATGGTACACCGAGGGTTGAAAATCGCTCTCACCTGTCCTGAAATACACAGGACACATTTGGGTCTAGCCAGATACTCCTCCTTGGAGTATTCCGCGCAGCGGTCGTAAATTAATTTGTCGTAACGATCTGATCTTTGGCTTGTTAGGGGTTGTCCCATCGCCGCTATTACATCGAATCTGATAAGGTAATGCGGTAACGTAATTTCGTATCCTAGTTTCCGTTCTGAGGTGTACGCGCACGGATATCTAGATATAATAATCGCCAAAATTCGTCGTCCTCTTTCCGTTTTTTAACGACTTTCGCGCGGACCGAGCAAATAAAGGACGAAATACGAAGATAAAATATCGACGTGCGCAAAAAGATTAATGCGTTCTTAATGTTCAAGATAAACCTGGGACAAGTATATGTCGATTCTAACTTTAGCAGAATCGATTTTCCCCTTTCTCGTTATGAAAAAACTTAAAGAGAGAAAAGTATATACAAAGGTGTTCGAGAGATCCAGCGGCATATAACATTTGGAGCGACCGCAACGAGTCGGAAACACTGGTTAATGGGCGATGATCCGTGAAAAAGCGCAACCTGCGCCAACATCGGTAGGGACAAGGGTACAAGGGTGCCAGGAGTCAAGGGGTCCTTACAATCACTCCATGGGGGGTCGTTACAGGAACCGGGTACGGCGGAGTTTACCCTCGTGTTTATTTGTCATTCGACACTCCGTACATTAAACGCCACGAAACTTACGATGAGCTAACTTATCTTGTCAACGGGAAATTGACTCTCTGTTAAAATATATATGTATATGTACTCGAAAGCTTATTTCTATACGAAACCCACGAATTCGCGATGCTCCTCGACTCTGATTCTCGAAATAATGCTTCCGTTGTGCGAACGTGATGTAGAAACAGGCGGGAGAGTGAAACGAGAGCAAGAGGATGATGATCAACGAAGAGGCACGCGAAAGCCGAGCGAGATAATGTTCGCGCGAGTATACCTACAAATTACCATTTCTCGGCGGGACGAAACCTTTCGAATCGTGCGGATGTGTACCAGTATACCGTCTATCCGACCTTCGCGTCCTTCGTGATCGATGAAGACTCCGAAACCACGATCACGGTATGTCGAACCTGGCATTTCGCGGATCGCTCGTGGAGGAGATCGTTTTTAAAACGGCGATGCCGGCTCGCACGAGACAAGGGGTCCTATATAATTGTCGAGAAAACGATACGCCTCTTGCGTAAGAACTCAGCCAAGGACTGACTCAAATTGCGTCCGTGCCAGGAGCTTCGCGAGACGATCTCGTACTTCGATCTTCGTGGAATTCGTCGGGGAATGGACTATCGATTGTACGGATTCTTGCGTGTCCGGGCACATCCAGCCGATTACGTCTCTTCTTCAAACGGTGTTGCGAGTATTACACAACCTCGCCTTATAAACATCTCGCGTGTTTAGCAAACGAGAGACAAAGGTCCGTGCTCGCGCCATACATTTAGCGTTAAACGCGGCCGCCCGCCTCGTGTCCCATTGACATTGAACGTCACCCTTACATTAAGCAAGTAAAACTTAGGATCGGTCAGATCCTATTTAACCCTTTACGTTGAATTTACGTAATTTTTAATGTTGAATAAATTTAAAAAAATATCGAATGTGTGAATATACATCTAATGGGGAATATAAATTAGTTTGTTATTTACTTTATTAGATATTAATATTGCATATCAGTATCATATTCTGAAACTATCGTAATATACGTTAGTATAAAAAATCAACAATTGGAGTGTCATTATTTACATAAGTTTCTTACTAAAATGATCACTGCATACGATGTAACATGTTCAATCATTAAACTCGTACGTACTAGAACTAGATCATCGTACGATGATCTAGTTTCTATTTGGCAAAATTAATGTGTTAACAAAATTCTTGTAATGACTATTAATATATTAATAAAACTGAGACTGATAACGTGGAAGAATTGTATTAAATTTTTTTTATGCGTTACCAAATGTTTGAGTGTGTTCTGAAATTTTCGAGCAAGTCAAATTTTTTATATTCCTGTGAGGATTCTGAAAAAAGAAGCAGACTATTTTGTAGCAAGAACTATATGTAATGACATTTCCTGCAGAAAATATAAACCCTTAAATCAGTCATGTACATTAACGAATAAATTTTCTGAGTTAACAGACGCTCTTCACTTGCCACTAATTGTAAATATATTTAAGCGTAAAATAATTCGATATTTCCAATAATTGTTATATCAGTCTTTTTTCTCTTTTTCTTTATTAACTCTTTAGAAATTTTTAACTTTACAGATTTTTAAGTACTGTCATTATATTAATTTATAAACTTTCGATATTATTTGCTGAGATACAGAAAAAAAAACATTAAGTAACGTGTCCCAAAAGATCTTCTTCTTTATATATATGTAAGTTATTTAGCAAAAACTTGGTGCACTAGCCAAGGCTAGCTGTGCGAAGCGCAGAAATCGTGCCTGCGCTCGCGTGCGCGTCACAGTGGAAAAGTTTCGCAGCGTTGAAAAACTTTCGACATAACACGCGGCATGTTGTAAAGACGTAATTGTCACGCATAAAGGCTCCTAAGCTCGCGCGAATTGCTTATAACAGCGATGCAAAACGGGCGACTGATTCGAAATGAGGAACGAGTGACGGCGAGCGTGCTGGAATAAAGAAATACACTGTGCGGAACACATTATTCTGGAAAGGTGCTCTCGGTCAATTCTTTCGCGGGAACGTTTTTAACGCGTAATCGATACTCTCTTCGACTCTTCGAAAAGCTATCGTTTGACCATAGTTCGAGGATCTCGTGCGGTCCTACGAAATATGCCGCCGCGCCGTGGCGGGCCCCGCGTGGAAACCCTTTAATTACATCTACGATACGCGGCAGAGGGGGACGTCACGGAACCAACCTCCGGGAGAAAGAGCGACTCTCCCGACTACCCTCGCGCACGAGCGTGCGTGCGTGCGCGCGCACAAGAGCGCGCGGGGGAGCGAGAGAAAAGCGGAGAGGAAGAGAGAGAAAGAGAGAACGCGATGGCACGAGAAGGAAGAAGGAGTAGGAGCCCTTCGGAGGAGCTTCGACGAGGAGGCAAGGCAAAGTGGTAGTACGAGGGAGAACGCGTTCTGCCCGCCCACCCCCGGGCTTTCTCTCTCTCTTGCTCTCCTTGACCGAGTCAACCCCTCCAATCTTGCGGCCTTCTCTCTCTCTCTTTCTCTCTGTCTTCCGGCGGGGGCCACGGGCCGCGTTTCGCCGTGGGCACAACCCGGGCCACGGGCCACGAGCCACGGGCCACGCGGGCCTGCCCGATACAACATCCAGCACGCGACGACACGCTACCGTCACCTTCTCTCCCCCCCTTCTCATTCTCTTCCTCTCGCTCTGTTTCTCGCTTTCGTGCATTCTCTCTCTCTTTTTCTCGCTCCAGCGTACACACACGACGCGTACGACCGAGCCAGGAGTAGACACGGGCGGTGGCAGAGGGTACGGGGGACCTGACCGAAAGCAAAGCCCGTAACCCCCGTTTGCGGGCCGAGCCCACTTCAGACACGCCGTGTCCTCCGCGTGGTCCACATCATCTTGTCCTGACCGCCTCTCTTTCTCTCTCGCTTCCTCTTTGCGTTCCATCTTTCTCCCTATCTTTTTCTCCCTATCTCTTTCGCGCGCGCGCGTGTATCTCTCGCTGCGCTCTCGCGCCCTTGCCACGGTCTGCTCGTTGGTACCTGTGCTTGTGCCGCGTTCTCCCTCCTGCCTCCGCCTCGTCGACGCTCCACGTTCTTCTCCTCGAGCGGGTTCGCCGAGCGGCCGACCGCAGTTTGCGGTCTCCACCGCGAGTTTGCCCTCGCGTCGCGCGGAGACCTGGCACTCCGCCGGCTACCAGGAGTAACTGCACGTGCTCTGCGCCACGGGTACGAGGTGATGAGCGCCGGCCTGCCGAGAAGAGGAGGAAACAGTCGAGGAATCGCGGCCACGGGACTGCGACTTCCGACGGTGGCGGCTTTTCCCGAGGAGTCGGAAGCTGAACGCGTGATTACCAGTGAGCTCAACTAATTGTAAGTGGAAGTGGAACAGCGAGAACATTGTTTAAGAAGATTCCTCCGCGATAGACGTTTGGCCTGAAGGAAGATCGATTGATAAAAATCGACGTTGAGATGTTGCTTCTGCAGTGCGATCAGTTACGAGTGTAATCCTGCTGACGGGATGGTTGAGCCGTGATCTTGATGATTGATCGGACCTTTAAAGGAGCTAAGGAATGCGTGCGTTCTTCAAGTAAAAGAAGAACATCCACCTCGCGATTTCATCAAGGACAAGCCGATTGTACTTTGCGTGGCTATCGGAGCGAAATAAAAATAGAGGACGGACGAGACGCACGGAAGGAAGCGCCGAGATAAAGACCGGATCATCGGTTCACACGGCGAAAGGTGGTTGTTGAGAGAAACCTTCCTGTCATCTGACGTGACCATTATACAGTCAACTTCTCTCCCTCCCTCCCTCCTTCCCTCCCTTTCTCTCTTTCTTTTTCTATCCGTCTTTCCGGCTTTCGTGTCGCATCTACGTCTCATTGCCGTGAAAGCGGAGTCACTTCCTGCGTGTGGCAAACGCGCGACGCACGTCAGGACGACGACGTCTCGCCAGGACTCGAGGCGCGACGTCGTACGTGCCATGCAATGTCGGTGAATTGAATCGAGGCAAGAACGACAAGAATCGGGGAAGACCGAGGTGAAAAACGGGAAACGTGGGACACCTTCGAAACTGGTTACGAGGGAGGTCCTCGAGGAGATCGAATGCCACTCGGAAGCTAAGGAGTACACGGACTGATATCATAAAAAATCAACAGGTACGTACGGGGCTGCGCTCTCCTTTTCCTCTCGCTGGAACGCGCCGTGACGGACGTTTCCGCGTGTAATTGTGGCCGTCCCGGCTGGATAAATAAATTATCCGACGGGTTTCTTGCCCCCTAATTAGACCGATCCGCCTCGCGTCTCATTATTCGCTCGGTACCTATCGCGTTACCTCGTAACGCCCGACGGTAACTCAACGTCGACTTTCATAAACGTCGATATACGCCGTGTATTTGCCTATCGAGAAAAACTCACCCCTCGCCGTAATATACGTTTGCATCCGCGATGGACGTCGTCGACGTGAAGTCTGTGGTTGGCGAACGGCGGTTAATGATTCTAGCGGACATTCGATTATTGCTTCTCTTTTTAAACTCCTTCGCTCTTCTTTCTTCTTTAACTATATACATCTCGTTATGTGTCGGTGCGCTTCACGCGATTATTTTTAGTCTTGTTACTGGTCATTGCGTATTGACAGAAAAGGTATATTCCTGCAAGGAAAAATTATTTCTCATCGAAGCGCCGACAATAACAAAATCTGATCTAAATATATTACATTATCGCGGTGGTATTTCCGCGTTCGCGCGGCGCACGTGTGTCAGCGACGCATTCCCCTTGGTATCTCGCATCGGAAATACCCGACACTTATCGATACATTCGAACGCGCAACGACAGATTATCTCGTACCTGGGGCTTAAAATATATCAAAAAGAGGAAAAAATAACCCGCGACGATCTTATCGCCCGACGGAACCGACGACGGGATCCTCGCGGTGTGTCGCGCGGAACAGATTAAAGCTGAAATCATCGTGGCGTGTGCGTGCGTGTGTGCGATGACGCGACACGAAAATCAGCGGCGCTAATTACGCGATAATGATCCGACGGACGGCACGGTGGGACCGCCAAGGGGCCGCGAGACGGAAGAGAACCGAGAAGGAAGTCGCGGGGGCTGCGCTCGAACATGAGCATGAGCGAACCCCGTGACTGCGGCGGCGGTCTCGCGAGGAAGGAAAAGGGCGGATTTATACATATACTTATTCGGTCGGGATATAAGCGATAAATATTAAAGTTCCTTATAAAGCACAAAGTTCTACCGCTCTCTCGTTCGCTCTCTCGCTCCTTCTCTCTCCTCCTCTCTCTCCGCCTGCACGGTGGGGCCCTTGGCACGCCATCGCTTCATTTAAAATGCAAATTCGTCCGGATGGCGTGAACCACAGCGGCCCGAATTATTCTAATTACCCGCCCTCCCCCTCGGTCTCTTTCTCCCTCTTCGTCCGCCTCCACCCGCGCCTCTCTCTCTCGCCGATTTTTCTTACCGCGCTCTCGAAAGCTTATCCGTTCGGCCAGCTCGGAAGCTCGAAAAATCTTAAATTTCAGAGTCAGCGTGCCGTCGATGCGACGAACAAGATGATTCCGTATCGACGCGATTTACGAGAGATGAAACGAACGTTGCTTAAGTGCAGTACGTCAATGTTAACCTTGAATATTGTTGTAGATAAAGCGCACGTATGCTCGAAAACCCAACCTTCCTGATTATGCATATATAATTTATTAAATAAGATTGTTGAAGAAATACAGGCAGCTCGACTTCCTAACTTCTTTCGCGACGATCATTCCGTGATTTTACTTGTACGTGGTAAATTTTTTATTTTTTCGGGAAGAACACAGCGATAAATTGCGACCAGCAAAACAATTCCTAATTGATACAGGATAATTCGGTTCGAAATCGGTGGCGAGGAAAGAAGCGCCGGGAAGGTGACGACGAAAGGGTAACCCGCTCGCACGGTAGTCGCCTCTGGTATACGCATAAACGTGCAAAGTGTGCTGGAAACGAGCGTAGATTATCGCGGGTAACGTGTTCACGATCCGAGCGAGATGTCGTGCGCATGTAGGCCTAATATATTCAGATTTTTATGGCTGGTGGCGTATCGGTGATACGGCGGTCGGTCGGTCGTCGGTTGGTCGGTCCACCCTCCCGCCCCGCGCTTCTCCCGGCCCGTTTCGTTCCCCCGACGTCGCTGCTGCGGCGAGGCCTTCCTTCACGTACCACTTAAAGCGCGGGTAACCTAATGAATAAACAAAAACTAGATTTCGCTTAGGGCTTACACGTAAAAGCGTGACCTTACCGGCGATTTACCGCGGCTGCCGCGGTTCTCAAATCGACTCGAGCTATACTCGCTTCGTTCTCGCCGGAAATCTCAGATCTACTAGTCGATCGAGAATGACTGATTGAGTTTTTATAGTTTTTGTATTAAGCTTTGAGTAACACGTTTGTATTTTCCTCTTTAATACTCATGTAACACAATCTCTCTGATTTCTGTAGATTTTTTAGTTATAAAAGAAAAAATTGTAAGGAGAAAATTGTTCTATTGATAATTACGACTAAAAAATTAGAAAAGATATATTTGATATATCGTTCACTGGGAAAATCTGATGTTCAATCATTCACAATATAATAATGACAGTCTAGTAAGAATCTAAGAAATGATTGACGAAGCGTAGAGACTATCTTATTTCTACAAATCTAAATTTTTATTTTATTTCATGAGATTAATGCGAGAATAATAATTGCGCGCGTCGAGAATGCAACGCGCATTCGCAACATTTGCATGCGTTTACGGTGGCGAGGAGAGCAAACGGAGAAAGAAAGGGAAAAAGGGAAGAAGGTAAGAGGGCGGAACACGTGTTCGCGAGAGTAACATCGGCAAAACACGTGGCACGCGAGAAACGCGATGCTCCGGCTCACCGTGGCCTCCGGTTCGTTTGATTTATAATAATCGCTCAATCCTCATTACGGGAAGCTTCATCCCCGCGGGGACGCGAACCAACGAGATTGCCCGGCGAGCGTCGCCGTCGGGCCGAAAGTAATCCCGTCCCGTGGCAAAAAGCTCATGCATTCTTCGCCGCTCGTTGTCGTCGTCTTCGTCGTCGTCGTCGGGAATCGAGCCGACAACGCGCGATCATAGACCGTATACCTTTAACGAGTAAAACTTGACACCTTGAAATCGCTGCGCGATGGAATTTAGTAGCCCTTCGAGCTGCGACACACGTGCAATCCGCTTTTTTCGCCGAGGCCGAAGACTCGTCGCTTCGCGTGGCCGGATACGCCGGATCTTTACGGACTCGTTTTACGTTTACGGAGAAAAATATATATATACGGAGAGAATTGATGAGAGAGACGGGAGGGCGATTAGAAATTATTTTGCCGGGCACGTCTTTTAGGCACGAAGAAAGAACGGCGTTCTTTCCCGATCGAAGATATAAATTAGCGGTTACAGGCTGGAAAGTAGAGAATATCGCTACGAGGACACGCCGCGCCGGCTAGGATGATGGTTGGGCATGAAGAAATGAGTTTTCATCAAGACTCCGTGCAGGGCATAGCCATTTCGACTATATGGATACCGCGTAACGTATGTAATAGTTACATCAGATTAGAACCTGCGATGGGAGGGAGGGGACGAGCGTGTAACCAGGCTTAATGCCGGGGTAAGCATCGAGTCACGGGGGTGGAGGCGGATCGTACTTATTACACGTATATATACCTTGAAACACGTCCTCGCTGTGCCACACACATACACACATGTACGCACACCTGCGCGAAGAGCAGCAAGGGTAACTATGGAGGGTAAGGAGTCGCCGGTGACCGCGCAAGGGCGGGCGAGGGGTGCTTCGGTAATCGTGCATTAATTTGCATCACAAAGTACACGCCACCCGCCACGCTACGCACGCATTCCACGTAGTTTTCCGCTCGCTCCTTCTTCTGTCCCGGCGCGAGTTCTCAAATCGGGATTTCTTGCGCCGCGCCGTCAGGCGCCGATCTGCTCTTATGATGTTAGACGTGGAAATGTCGAAGGGATCGAGGCTGACGAGTAACAATATGAAAAGAGATGCGAATCCCGTCCACCGGATGACGATCCAGGAATTTCGTGCGCGTCGCGGTAATTTATGCAATTAGTGTAAAAACTGAAATATGAAAATGAAGTTGTCGGCGCTCGGTGAGCGGCCCCAGCACCGCCGCTGCCGCGATCTCGCCGCGATCTTCTGTTCGGGAATGAGAGTCACGGTTTGCGGCTACCGGCGGCAATATTTTGCCGCGCTTTGCCTTATCGGTACGGTTGCATATTTAAGGGTTGCCATGTCAAGCGTCAAGCGCGCCCTTTGAATACATTTAAATTCATTAACGGCGAAGGCTATACTCCCGCTATATACTCTATATAATACGTCGCGCGCGGCGAAGAACACGCACACACGGCGCGCAATGGTGCTCGCGATACGCCACTCACGAAGGATCTACGGCGATGCGCACTACGTTTCGCGTTATACACACCGTACAACTTGCAGTTTGCTGTTAAGTTTTAAAGACCGCGTACTTGTTCTGTTTCAGATACGGCACGCTGATCGCTCGTCGCCATGCCGCACACTGGTGAGTAAGATATTTGCTCCTCTCAGATTTCTTCAGACTTCAAATTTCATTTCTTCCTTCGATTGGAACACGTGCGTATCCCGGTCGCAGGATGTCCCAGAACTCGCGATTTTAGTTTCTACGGCTGTTGAATTTGTAGTGTCAGATTATACTCAATTTGAGTCATTTTTAACCATTCTTATAAGTCGTCACTGCTTCTCAATACGTCATTAATTTAACTAAACCAATGAAGTTAAAATATTGTTTTGTGTTAAAATAATAAATTTTGACACATGGTAGCTGAAAATAACAAAATGTTATTTAAGATATTGGTTTAATTTTCATCCTCTAATATTTAAGAATGTTTCCTGACCAATTTGGAGTCGATCTTTTCTTGGCGAAAATGTCGAGGGAGATCGCAATTTATTCCAATTTTCTACATCGCAAAAAAACTCTACTTCTGAAGAATATAATTCGTTCTTGTTCTGCAACCGCTTATTACTCGCAAATTATTGATATCGTGATATTTTCGCTAAAAAAATCGAGTTTATATTAATTAAAGAATTCATCATTAAAATTAAAATTACGAATTATGGAATACGTATCTAATTGGAATTGTGAAATCAAGCAGAGTTCAATAAATAATCAAGTTTCTCATCAATCTCGTTGATGATATCACTCTCTAATATTAATAATAGATAGACTTATTGTTAGACAATACTAATTGTAGTGCATTTCGGTTTTGTCAGGAATTTTGAGAAAGTAATGGCTAAAGGATTAAATCGTTAAATCATTTCACTATAAGTGTACGCATAGCGTATGCTAATTCATAGCCGAAAAAGACGTCGCGTCGCGTCGGCTCGTCGCAAACAGCAGCTAGTTTGCTAAATAGCCAATCTCACCGGGTGTTTCGGTCGGCTTCGCTTCCTGACTTATGTGAGAAAGAATGTAACACGTCGTTATGGTTTCCCCGGGACGGGGTCAGCTACCGTCGCGTCGGCGAGATCACAGGTCGCGATCGGTCGTGAAAATAAAAATTTCTACCTTCCTCCTCTTCTTCTATACCAGAAGAGAGTCTCCCCTTCTCTCCTGGCTGCCTCAAGGCTAAATTACGCTTTGAAAGGCAGTTTGACAGTAATTAACGAAGAATTTTATACCGTGGATCGAACGCCGACATCTATAGGCCTATTATTAAACGAGTATAATTATAATCTACCGTCTCTCCTCTCTGTTTCCCTCCTCGCTACGCTGATGCCTGATGCTCGTGGTAAAGAATCCTGCCTGGATCCCGCTCGAGCGATCAATCTCTCGCTCTTCCGGCGAGGCACCGCGGTGCGAAATCTTCGAAATTAGAGAAAGTATTCTCCGTTTCGGTTGTCGCGGCCTTCCATGAATTGGGATATTAATTTTGCCAATGCAAAATCTTGTCAACCGAACGATTTGCTTGATGCCTCTCTTTAGAAACTTTCTTGGATCACTTCGCATCAACGAAATGCAGCGAGATCGTAGAAGACTTTCGATGTGTATAACGACTTTGCCACATATAAATTATGGCGAAACATTATGCGGGCAATTTTGAAATGCGCTACTATATCAAAAAATTATTTACAAGATTATAGAGGCTATATTGAATGATGTTATCAAGATTCATAATGCGCACTTCCCAGATTCAATGTTACCTTTTAATTATCAGCGAGCTCGCATGCTACATATGTTATTTCTTAATTATCAGCAACATCCAAGTCGCGGATAATCATTGAAGCGATAAACGCTTAATAACAGCCGCTGTTAACCATCTTGATACACTTCCATTTAAGGCTATCTCTCGCATGTGTTCTTTTAAAATAGATGATGACGGGGCCGATATCGCGAGCGAGTTGAACGGTGACCGATTCGGCATCGATTCCGAATCGGCAAATCGCGATTCCCGGTACGAGACGTGCTCGCTCTCTCAACAGAGAGAAAAAAATCTGTTAGCATGGGTGCGGATCGTGATTACAGGTAGGGCAGGTGTAGAGTTTGGTTAAGGCCTAAATGGCCAGCGCGATAGCGATCGTTGTTGGCGATCGCATTAGCCGGCTAATTCTAAGCTAAGCCAGTATTATATTTTGAGAGATATCCCTTTTTATGCGCTCGCCGAAGAACCTTGTGCTCGTAATTTGACAATTTGCACTCTGTTGAGAAAATATAGGCTGGAATATAAAAGGAGATTAAAAATATTGATATCCTATAAAATTGTAATCTCTAATATATATCTCTAATATAGTTATCCTGGAAATTGATCAATTTAACACTCTAAAAGTTCTATAAAATTTTTTCCAAATAACAAAAATAGAAAAGAGAAAGAAAAAAGAAACCGTGATATGAATGTAATTCTTAATTTTGTCATTTTTAAAGCAATAATATATTAATGCAATAATATATGTAACGTTAATTTTTTTCTTGAAAATCAATTACGTAAAATAATCTAATTGTGATAAAAATAGCGTGCACGATTAGATAACAAGAAATTTTATACATTACTACATTTTATTTCTTCGTAATTAGCTTCGTAATTGGCTTGATGAGCTATGTGCATTTAGTCGGTAATGTATCAAAAAGTGGTCAAGGTTAAAACGCATTAATATGGTAAAAAAATTAAATGCTTTTACGAGAAATTTATAAGGATAATTATGTATATAAATTCTTAAAGCTTTAATTAATAAATAATAATAATTATTTAATAAAATCTTTTTGGTCTAAAACAGTGAAATCTCCATAGTATCGACTAGAAATTCAATCAAGATCGCGTCCGATAAATTGGCAAAACTTTGGAAAAAACGAATATCACAAATATATTTTGCATTGCAACACTGAATATTCTTAAAAAATTTAAATTCAGTATCTGAAACTATAAAAGATATATATTTATAAACGTTTGCCGATTTAAATAAACTATTACTTTCCTGGCAACAATTGAAAGGAGAATAAGGCAATTTAAAAAAAAAAGATTATTCCGCGGACGGAAAGTGCACGTAAAGTACTCATCACGCTGAAAAAGCTGCGCATTTAATGTACAGCGTATAGCATCTATTATCTATTTAATAAACCAGATCGTCTGCACATCCGACCCGAGAAGCGCGCGGTTTATCGCCTTTAATTATTGCAAACGCATGTTTATTAACATCCCGTGCCGTTATCAGAGATAACAGTTATTTTGCGATTACGTCCGCGTAGCAGCCTATATTTCCGAGCGGTTTTTTACCAATTCTATCCCGTTCGCCTCTACGCCTTGGCCCCTCTGCAGATCGGGCGTTTCCGGTATTCCGATTTCCGTGCGTGCACTTTTTGTCTCACGTAAACGAGCGGTTCCGTGCTGTTTATGATGCAACGTGGCCAGAACCGCGCCGTTAACGCGCGGTTCCATTATTTCGCGGATCCACCGGCAGATTTGCAGTTAGATAAAGACGCCATTTCGGTCAGTTTTTTGCCGTAATAATAATTTGGCCCGCTGTGTCCGTCGCTTACGCGTCGCCCGTCCGTCTCTCCCGTTGTCCGAAATGCGTAGCGTGTATAATTTTCGTGGTGCAATCGCGTCACAGATTGGTGTGCCCGGCAGAACGAATGAAGGACGCATTAAGAGACAGATAATTAAGATAATTAATCAATTATACAAAAATGGTTGAGCAAACATTAATTTACCGGTACAAGCTCGAAGTTGAAGGATTTTGTTCAATGCCAAGATCCGGTCTTTATTTATTTATTGATGAAAAAATGCTCTGTTAGGTATCGCGTATTTGAAGGTTCAGTACAGCCATTAATGAATAAGGTACGTGCGAGCACGCGAGACACGCATTCCCCGGAAGTAATTTCGCCGAAAAGTAATTTCTCCGAAAATGAGTCTTACCGGCTGTGTGTCCCTGTCACCAATCGAAAGACCCTTAAATTATCCAATAAGGACAATCCGTCACGCCTTCGACCGGTGGTCATTATCAGCAATTCCCACTTCGTGCGGGCTCGCTGCTGCGCGACCGTCACGTCCGCTCCCGCTCTCGCGAGAACGTCATGAAATTGTAGAAGCGTTTCGTAATTTCGGCCCCGGGACACATAATGACTCTTTCGCGAATCGCGCTTACACGAAATAAACAGCTAATGGGCGCATTAATTGGAAAACGATTCTTATCTCCCAATTTAAAAGTCGCGCATATACATGTACACGTAAACTATTAGGAAGTAAAATTATTAGGAATTATCCCACGAGATATAAAATCTCGGGGGCATGTAAAAAAAAACTCGGCATCACGAGTATAATCGCCCTGATCATTTGCTTCCCAGAGCGCGGAGGCTCCTTCGGGGAAGTACGAGTCACGGGAGTGATCGCGATCGTCCGTCAATTAGCCCGTAAAACGCCAAATAAAGCTCAGATTCGAGGAATCCGAGAGTAATGCCGGTGGAAAAGAGATTGACGAAAATCTTTTCTTTGGCGTCTCGAATACGCGGCCGCTCGTTATTTCTCCAAGCTGGTTCGGAGGTCTGTCGGCGTCAGTGATCGTGGTAATGACATAATTAGTCGGCGCGGATAATAATTAGCGATCGTCCTGGTACGCGCGGCTCGTCCGTGCATCCGGACGGTGTCTACGTGAAGGCGCGTGGCTCGATTTATATAAGTCGTCCATGGCATTTATGCTTTTGGTCTCTTTCGCCCTTTTATATTTTCTTTCACGAGGGAGAGAACGGATCGTTAGCAACGCCGCTTCTGTGCGGCCTCCTCTTTCTCTCTCGTTCTCTTTCGGCTCTAGTTACGTCGATAATAATCGCGCCGACGAATAAAAGCGATTATTCCCATTACCCGGCAAGTTATTATTCGTTAAATTTATATACCTGGTCGATGATTACCTCCACAGTGCATCCGTGCAGAACCGCAACCGGGCCAGATTGCTCGCATCCTTAAACCTCTCCCTACTTTGCCCTCGGCTATATTACAACATCATTACGATTGTAAAGATTTCTAACTTGCAACGTGACAGAGCGTTATGTTATTAAAATCTGATTGTAATTACGAAAATGTATCATGTGTCTTTCATGTTATTCTTTGGCATAACGACACATTAATTAAGACACGCGAGAGTTTTTTCTTCGGATCCGGATTTCACGCTGCCGAAAGTTGTCGGTGCAGACTTAAGACTAGAAATCTCAACTTGGAAACAGCAAACTGAATATTAAGCGACAGAGATTCCCATGTGAATTCCGAGCCGCGTGTAATTATACCGTTAACTGATCGTCGTCGAAAACTACGATCCGAAAATTAAGAATTTTTCACGTGTGTCGAATAAGCCGATCGAAGATTTATGAGATGCGGCTTCGATACAATGGTGTGAGCTCGTTCCACGGTCTATCCGAACTTCTTCTAGCCGACGTGCAACGTTTCGTGTAACGAGAAGACAAACGGAACCTACCGTATATAACTCAGATTTTATTCGACGCCTTAATGCGCGCGCCGGGCCGCGGATCGTTTAAGCGCTCATTTTCGACGGCGGGACATAAAATCGATGATCAATTGGCGTTTTTATTCGCGCGCGACGAGCCGGTCATTACGGTTTTACGACACCACTGCGGGGGAATAATATCGGTTTTATAAAATTTTCGACAAGTGCTGCGTCGGTTATGCGACGTGTCGCGCATGCAATGCGTAAATAACTTGTCGTCCGACGTGATTTAAGTCAGCAACACATTGTGGGTTTCATATTCACGCGCTGCTGAATATGAAAATTACGCGATTACACGTTTTTATGAATTTGAATATTAAGAGGAAAAAAAAATACGAAATGGTTTCTAAAACGACCACTCGGCCTCGTCTTAACGTTTCATCCCAATTAATTAACTTTTTTAGGCTTCGTCGATGGGTCTAAACTCCTGAATCTTCGAATTATGTTAATTTTTATTACACCCGATTTAACATGTGAAATTTTAAAATCGTCGAATTTTACTGAAAGTTGTTTCATAATAAAGTATCTAATTACATATTTGGAATTTGTGGAAGTTTTAAGTGAACTTTGGCGAGAGGAACGAAATAACAATTGCGCATAAACAGGAACCAATTTATGGCGTCTCTTTACACGAAATAAATTTAGTATTTCATGGAAGTCTTTTGCAAGTGCCGAAATAATAGCGGTTAGTACACGAACATTTGATATATCTTTGTTGCATAATATCAACGAAGTATAGTTACTTGATTCTATGTTAATTGCAAACGACCTCCGAAGAGTACAGATGTCGGGATTTCGCTGTGAACGCTACACACACACGATCTTCCTAATATTACTGAAAATAATGACACGTCTTTGCCCCGGACGGAAAGGCAGGGGAGGGAACGTTCTTTCCGTGATATTCGTCGTAACAATGTCATTAGAGGACCAGAGGCAGAACCGCACCGTCAGAGAATGCACCTGCCGACCTTCTCGGACGACCGCGAGCGCATTATTAGCAGATTTCCGACTGTCCTCCTCTGAATCGATAAACACCTTTTGCCGTTCTATATCGACGCGAAATCTCGAATCGCCTCCCGGCCGACTTTGGGCCGACTTATCGCGCCAATCGTTATGTCGCCCTATTAACACAATAACGCGACTGACTGACTGACTATACTCTTCCAGGACAAGCCGGGGTGAATCAATTAGGCGGCGTCTTTGTGAACGGCAGGCCGTTGCCGGACTGCGTGCGCCAGAGAATCGTGCAGCTCGCCATGGTCGGAGTCAGACCGTGCGATATTTCTCGACAGCTACTCGTGTCCCACGGCTGCGTCTCCAAGATACTCACGAGATTCTACGAGACGGGAAGTATCCGACCCGGCAGCATCGGCGGAAGCAAGACGAAGGTAAGATCAACCTCTGATCGAAGCTCGCGATTTTTAGAGAGGTATCTATACGTTACAATGTGCAATTGGACTCTTTCTTAATTACAATTGTACAGTTTTTTTTATCTCGATTATCGACACATCTCATTGTTATTATAATGCACAAATGTGTAAAACTAAGAATATTTCATATTTCATGTAAAAATATATTAGAATAAAGTATGAAATATCTCAACACACAATTTTTCGGTGACTTATTACTAAAGTAACTTAATATTTACAGAGTATTTAAAAATGAATTTAGAAATTCGAATTGCACATTGTTTAATGAACTTGTAGATTTTTCTTTGAAAAAAAAAAAAAAATTAATTAAATGTCAATATCAGAAAGTTATTTGAGAATAAAGGTCGGACGTTGGGCATAAAATGCGCGGTAAGAGTGCGACTCTCAGGAAAAGATTAATGTCGGTGGCTTTGCAAAAACACGTGAAAACGAGCGATCGCGCATCAGCGTGCGTTAGCGGGCGGTGGCTCTGATGAGAGTCAGTTCTCCCTCTGCGCGTATACACGGTCAAGGCATTCCTGATGTGATTTTAAGTAAGGGCTGCGTTTTGACCGTGCATGCAATTATCCAAACACCTTGCAGTGCGAGTATCAGCATTTTCATGATTTAATGGTTTTACATGGTTCTCCTGCATAACATTCGAGCGACTTCCCGGCTCCGTAAATTAATCGATAGATACCTCGATGTTGAAGAGGAACCGCCGTCTTCTCTCGTCGCGACGTCGCGGAAGGAAACTTCGCCTCGCAATCAAGATCGATCTCGCGAAATCGTGGGACACGTTTCTATCGTTCGTTCGTAATCACGCTCGTCGTGAAATTTAACGTCAAGTCACAGGTTTTTTATCACATCATGGCGTACTCATGTCGCTCGGGAACGTTATTTCGCCCCCCGGGCGCGCATCGCGAAGCTGCCAACGGCGGACGCTCGCGGTATCGCGCACACACGCCGCTAATGACAATATAATTGCACGGTGCGTATATGTACTGGGAATTTCTTATGATGCGCCAACCGCGGACTGTTACTCTGTGCTTAATGAATTTATTTTAATAACGTCGCGTTGGCGTGCATCGACCTTTCTCAAGTCGCGAGTTGGAGTTTGGTACGCCGATGAAAGAGAACGGAACAGAACAGAGGGAGAGGAAGAAAGAGAGAGAGAGAGAGAGAGAGAGAGAGAGAGAGAGAAGAGGTGGCCCTTAGAATCCTGAAGAGGACATTTAAATTCCGGATGGAGCACGGGGAAGGGGGCCCGATTACGCGCGCATGTAAACGATAGTCATCATCCGCCATTACCGGCGTTCGTTTTATTTCACGTATGTCAAAATAGTCCCGTGGCGAAATAATGGTTGCGCGCTTAATACGGCTTAGTCCTGAAGTCCTTTTTATTTTAACCGCGATCTACGCGATCGGCTGACTGAATTCTTCGCTTTTTCTTCTCCTCTTTGCGACAAGTAAACGGCAACCTCGTGTAATTTGGGGGAGAAATTAGGAAGACGTACGAGCCCCCCTGAGAAGCAAGTGTATGAAGGATCAAGTCGATCAAGTCGCTCGCCTTGCACGCGCAACTTATCTTTGCCCGCCCACCGTCATACGCACAAAAGATCTCCTCTCTCGAGGAGATCGTTAGATAATAAGCCGACTCGGCGGCTCGTCACTATCCCTGTCTGTAAGTGGCTTTTACAGCGATTTAAAATTACGCCGATAATTAAATAATGGCTACTAGGTAAATCCTTTGATTGCCTGGCAGTATTAACTCGTCGGGCCCCTCGAGAACCGGCATTTAACCGCATCCCCCCCACACCGGTACCTCCCCACACGTCGATTTCCATCGAAGGAGAACGTTCCGATTTTCCTGCTGAGTAACGAAAGATGAACGGTGCGCTCTGTCGAGAGATAACGTTGCTCTCAATTTTAAGTCTGTTATTACGACTTTCCGCGCCCTCCTCGACGCGGTATCCCACGATATTGCCCTTCGGTCACAGATGATCTTCCCGGGCGCGAATTTGGTGTAAACTGCGCGCGCTCTCTCAGGTGTTTTATACCAGAGCACTCCCCTCGGGCGACTACGCATATTTGCAGTAAGACCTAAGACTCAATAGCCGTGTTTAATTAAATGCGCGCTCTTGGACAGATTAATTTCCAACGGCGCGCGATTCAGTCTCTCCGTCTCGCGCGTCGTTGCATCGTGCGGTGCAATTTATTAGCGTGCGATCTCGCGAAATTAATCGACCGGCTATCGGCGAATCTACACGTGTTCTCGAGCGCGGTACGTAACATTTTCGTCCACGTACTTTCTCCGTTATCCTCACTCTCTCTCTCTCTCTCTTTCTCTCTCCTGTCATACGCACGCGTGCGCGTCAACGTGATACGTGTCGGATAATAGGGCGGCGGCACGACAGAGAAAATTGTCTCATGAAAAATGCACAGATCGCGTCGAAGCCGCGGATAATAAAGTGGAACGTCAAGGAAAAAATCGCCGCAATCCGCCCCGTACATACGCGCAACGAATCCAAAAAGCTTTCTCTCCCTCATATAACAAACTGGACATATAACACCGCGACAGAGTACCCCCGTCGTGACGCTTTAACCCTCTTTACCCCCGGATTCGATAACGATCTCGCGGGTTTCTCGAAACCGTTAAGGGAATACCACTCGCACCTGGGAATGATTATTGTCACGGCTTCGACCAGCGGGACATTCATTTTCTCGGCGTACAGTTCACGCTCGGCGATCGGACGATTTTCCCTATTTATCTGGCAATTAAGATCTCGCTCGCGGTCTCGGCGGAAATACGCGCATGGACGTGTATTTATTTTCTCGATGCATGATTTAACAGCGCTTGAAAACACCGCGACAAATAGGAACAAATCGTGCTTTATTCCCACGACGCGGAGTTGCGCTTTAAATGAGACTTCCCAATCGATCGCGCTTGAAAGATTTGCTTTAGAAACTGTGAATAGACAAATATCACGTATATAATACACGTATATATGTACGTACATATTGGTTAATGTCAAAGGTATATCATATTTATTAAATAAAGTAAAATGTTTTAGTAAAATGGTCGGATTCATGTACTTTTTTTTTCATTCAGAGAGAAAGTTCTAATCCCTTTCTTTCGAAGAATTTTAGTTTTCTAACTTTACAGAATACAAACTATAAAAAATAAATCTTTTATACAAACTTAATGTACGTATTTCGGGTTAATCGATCTTCTTAGACTCGCTGTTTTCATCTATTGTGCCATTTTACTTCACTTTCCTAACGACAAATCAATCGTCTCTCATTTCCGACGCCACCGGCGCGTCCAGGTGGCATGAGAAAAAAAATGGGGCGGAAGGTGTCGACGGTCGTCGTCGCCCTTATCATTCACGAGCACTCGGGGCATTCGGGGCGCATGTAGCGGGGCGCGCAACTTACGCGCGATAATTACCGAGTTGGTGAACCTGTTCGTATATACACGGCCCGGTATATGCGGGTTATCTAACGTTTAGTGCCAGATGTCCATTCTGCCCAGCCAATTTCCTCCGACGGTAGTCTCACACACACACACACACACATAAACGCACACGTACATGAACATGTACAACGCATGCTCACGTGCGTGTCCGCGCTTCGATGTGCCCGGACGGTGACGCGGAGGGTCCGCATTAGGACGCACCGTATATATTGTCGGAGCAGGGGTAATTGTGGCAACGACGACGACGGAAGTGTCAGATTAGAATCTGAGATGCTCCCGGGAGCACGCGATGCTTGTCCTAAACCCCCTCAAACTATTAGGCGGCCCTCTCCGACTCTCTTTGCTACCCCCGAGGCACTAGCCCCTAAAGCCCTAAACGTTCCCGCCAGTGGTGCTTTCACCTGCGAGGATTTCGGATAATGACATCTTGTACACTTCGTATTAACTCCTTAACGATTTTCGTGATCTCAACTGGTCGTTGCTATCCAAAATCGAAATAAGAGAAGGATATGCTTTCTACCGTTGATTAGTCTTCGAGTTCGACTTGCCCGCGACGAAAACTTATTTCCAATGGCTTACGAATGAGGCATTTTTCTTTGAGAGAAGAAATCGATTAGGCTGAGCAATCACGCGAGAATTTACGGCGACCCTGTTATTCGAGGCCTATATAATTCTTTGCAGCCGTATACCGAGCACATCGATCGACGCCCGACCGTTTGTCTTTATGCCGATCATATCGATCGTTGTCCGGTGCACCGCGGATATTTATTCTGCTCCTCTTCGAAACAATTTGTCGAGAGAGATCGTATCGGGGCCCACGTGGCCGGGCACAGACTACCGACGCGCGGAACGCCGAGGCATCGATCTTCTCGCGGAATGAGATCGGTGCCGGGTAATCGACAGGTTCGGTAATACCGTTCCGCTCGGCGATATGTATACACGTACGATATGTAACGCGTATACGAACCCCCGCGCGGGCATGGAACGTGCACCCGTGAAGATGATCATCTTTTCCCCGAGCGAGATCTCGATACGTCTCGCTCGCGCCTGCCCATCGCCCCCCCAAAGAGATCGGCGATCTCGAAATCTGTACGGCCCGGAATAACATTTCCATCGCGTTAGCATAAAATTATCCGCGTGCCATTACCGTTCATTAGCAAGTCAAATTAGCCGCGCGGCCAGATTGAGCACCACTGGGGCCCCCCTTTCTTTTGGAGTATAAGCGAAACCGATGGTGGGCCTCGTGGCAGGCAACGGCACCGGTGGACGGTACCAACCGACCGGACAACCCGTTTCTTTGGCGAACGGGGGCTAAACCGAAATAAAGTGGGTAGTGCCTTCGCCCACCGTACCGGACGGGCTCTCCTCGCTATCTGATTGACGACCCCGTCCGTGCTCTTCACCTGTGAACGACATATGCGTGTGCGACTCGCTACGACGACGGTGTGACCGCGTTCGTGTTAATTTGTCGATGAGATAACGCGCGCGATTCGGCTTTAAAAGAAAAGACGGAATGATTAACAACGGCATCCTGGCAGCGATAAACATCCTTACGGACGGTGGACACAAATGTTCAAAATTGAAAGTTTTTTATCTTAAAACTTGAAAAAATTGTTAATTTAATTACAAAAATATATTAATGTTAAGTATTTAAAAGTTGCGACAAATAATGATTTTTCTCGATAATTTCGTTAAAGAAAAAATGATTCCAAATTGATTAAAGAATGAAAAGCGAGATATACATATAATATATGAGACACGCATCTATCTCTGTACATTTATTGAAATATATTTAATTTATATACTGTATATGTTGCAGCAAGTAGCCACGCCGACAGTGGTAAAAAAGATTTTACGGATGAAGCAGGAACAGCCGACCATGTTCGCCTGGGAGATCCGCGAGCAGCTCGCGCGACAGGGAGCTTGCGATCCCCAAAGCTTACCTTCCGTATCGTCGGTCAATCGTATTCTTCGAGGTGGCGGGCTTCATACTGATATCCCTGCCATCGAGAACGGCGCATCTGGCGGATATACGTCACAAATTCCGTCGAACGCTGGAACCAGAGGTAAAAAATTAGCGACGATACTAAAAGGACTCGAGACGATTGTTCGTTGTCGTTATCGGACAGTTAATGTACGGATTTGTCGAATACTAAACCGAAGAAGATGGACGATAGTTGAAGCGAGAGACGCGCGGGTGCATATTTTCGTTGCAAAGCTTCGTGAGTTATTATGTGTAGACCGAAGCTGCGTTGCTGCGAGTGCACCATTACAGACTAATAACGCTTTAAACACCTGTCCCTAGCGTGGAATCGCGGATCTTTTTTTTTGCGGTTATTTCCAGAAGAAAGACGATAAATGTCCGAAAATGGCGACGGCGAGCGCGCCGAAGGAGAAGAATAGCAAGAATGATCGTGACAAGCGGAAGGGAGGGTGGGAAAGGGCAGATCTTTTCGAGATACCCCGTTGCCGTGATTGACTCGTCAGCAAAAGCCACGCAGACCCAGGCAGGGCAACAGACACGCAACCCCGTGCTGTCGAAACGGAAAATTTGCCTCGCAATTTGTATCGCTGGATGCTGGAAGCGGTGCTCAATTTACCGGCTTTGAGCAGCTAATTGCGAAACGAGCGTCCGGGCTCTTTTCGTCTTCATCCTTCTCTCAAATCATTTCACTTACGAGTGACAGTTCTCTTTCTAAATAATATCTAAGAATTAAGGAGCTTTTTGTGCCGAATTAAAATATATTACTTTGAGGTAACGCGAATATCGTAATAAATAGGAGGAATTAATATCTACTACTAAGATCAATTTCTTAATAATATACTCAAACAATATAGGCAAAAACTAGATAATTAAACGAATAGAAATTAAAGTAAAAATATCTGATAGATTCGACGACTAACAAAGATTATGAATCATATTCTTCTTCTTCTTAAATTGTATAGCACCTAATCCCAATGGGATCAATTAACGGCTAGTCGAACGGCTAGTCGAAAATAGTTAATCCAAACTCGGGTAAAAGTGATTCTTCTCAAAGATGGCTTACAATGGCCAAGGAAAACGGAAGGAAAAGTATAATTGTGCGTGTATGTAATGTGTACCTGTATGTGAGTGTCCGCGGTGTTGTGAACTCGGGTCAATCCGTGGGTTCGTTAGGCCCAAGGAATTGCGCGAATCAATTCCCCCTGCGGAATATGAATCCTATATTACATGGCTTATTTTTCACGACAAATAAAAAATAATGGACAACATAACGTATACGGACAGCGTATACTATACAATAAATATAGTACAACACGTGCCTGCGTAGTTTTTGATGAAATGTAATTCCGAATATCTGTATTTATGGAGAGAGAGATTTCTTTTAATGACTGCGAAACAACGTGAAAATTGTAGCAATAACAGTTGCAATTATTTTCTCGTAGATACACTCATGAGAACGGATTATCAGCTGTTCTACCCGGGCGCTCTAGGACCGTTGCACATTTCTACGAACACCGGCAATACCGGCACACCGTCGTGGAATCAGAGCTTCTACTCGTCCCTCTATCAAGCGACGACCTTGCACTTGCAGCATGGAATGCAATCCTTCGCGTAAGTTCACCGCGACAGAATTGATTTAACAAATAATTGATTATATAGACGTATTCCCGTGTGATCAAACACGTTTATAATTTCGTTTTCACAGACCTTTAGATGCCGAACGTTTGTCAGAGCAAAACGGCGCGCAAAGTCAGCTGGAGCTGAAGTCGAGTTCGAGCTCGACGGCCGGCAGCGACGATTCGCTGGACAAGAGCGACCTGGATGAGAACTTGGTCGAATCACAAGACCACTATAAGTCCTTTCGGAGCACGCCGATTATCCTGGAGCTTAGCCAGAAAATCGGCAGCGATCGGAGCGCGTTCGTCAGGCACGGTACGCCCAATTCGCACGCCATGAACTCGGACAATCCGCGCGAGAGCCCGATATCGATCGTCGAGACGTCGAAGCGGGATCCTCCAACGTCGCACAGGATCCGCGAAACGAAGAACACGAGTCCAAGTACGACGATGACGACGAATGAGGGAGCGGCGGTGGAGAATCAGCCGCCGCAGCCGCAGAAGAAGAAGAATCCCTACTCGATAGAGGAGCTGCTCAAAAAGGACGAGAGCAAATCCACGTCCAGAAGGCCGAGATTGCCCAACATCGGCGTGGTCCAACCGTGCGGCATTATCGTGAGCAAGGAAATTTAAGGATGTCGATCTCGTGTCGAGCGCCCAAAGGCTGTCAGAGTTGCAAATATACGTTGCTTTTGCGTTATTTACACGAAGTATAGACCATATCGAAATTCAGCGATGAAGCTTTGCTCGGGCGGACGTTATACAGTGTGAGCATACATCATCGGCCATAGGTACGTGTGTAGTATTAGCGGGTGCAAAGAAAAATTGTACGATGTAAAACGCATTTGATGAAAGTTGAGTATAGCAGGGTAGAGGTAGCAGGAAATTGAATACCATTGACAAGGAAAGGCTCAGAACTCGACTGCGTTGATTTAAAACTTGGCAGGATTACAAAGAAAGTTTCCTCAAACAATACTCTTATTTGAGTGCAGATGATCAATCATTTTCGAGATATTTTATCAATAAATTTAATGGCGTCTTTAAAGTTTATTAGTACACTCACATACGAGTATTTGTGGCATAGTGTATATGGTAACTGTTTCGTAATTATTTTATTTATACGTTATTTTATATCATGACTATTTATATTATAATTTCTATAAATTTTTTATGTTAAAATAATTTATTTTTTATATCAACAGTAATTATTTTCATCGCAAAATATTATTATATAAAAAATTAATTAATTGTGGGATTTAAACTCGAGTCTACAAATTATAAGGTCTGCAATAAATTTATTATTAAAATATTTTGGAAACATTTAATCGTTTGCATCCAAATAGGAGTATTATCACATTCGGGAGAACTTCCTCTACAATCCTGCAAAGTCGGTTTCATCAAAATCGGCGGAGTTCAGTTCTGAGCCTTCCCTTGTGAGTATCGCGGCACGTGTACTTGAAAGTAATTTCTTTGCACCTGATGAATAACCTTTGTGGATACAGTGAGAGTAGCGAATGTCTTAGATGTCTAACTTAGAAATTAAGAAGTTTGATAGAAGAGATTAGAAGCAGATGGTTTTTGAAGCTTCTTACTCCTCCTTCGAGAGAGAGAGATATGAGAGACAGAGGTGGCTGTTCTGTGAAGTGAAATAAAAAGATATAGCGCCATATGTAATATTAGAATCGAAAAACTGTAGTGTCAACCATAACGTAGTGAGGTATATTGTACTCCTTGTGTAAGTTAACTTATAAATTAAATTATTTTCATTTCTCCCGTTCCGCGTTGCAAATCTCGACCGCCGTTTCTCGCTGGCGATCGGTACACACGGCTGTTAACTGGTTCGAGAATCTAAGATTTCGCTTAATTCTGAAATTGCGTACGGCTAGTTAAAACTGGCGAAGAAAAACGTGAAGTGCTCTTGGAAATCCGGGGGAAGTTTCCAATACTTTCACTAATTTATCTTGAATAGTCGATCGCGAATAGCGAATCGCTGGCGGTGAAATATCAATTAACGTGCCGGCTTTTTTTCGCGCGGTAATTCCCATGCCAACGTAACGTAAGAAATTCAGCACTTCCAGGCCATCGCGTCACGCAATAAAATTCGACACTTGTACATTCCACCTTTGGAAGTCGAGACATAACTCCGCGCCTACGTAACGACCGTCGACACGAAGAAAAACACGATATACGTCCGATAAAAGTCTCGGGGACGACGAAAATATTTTTATCTAGCTGAGCTCGAGCCTGTATAGCCGGCTGAATCTTGAAACGTGTCTTTGGCAGCCCGCTCGACGGTGTACCGCTCCGTGGAAAAGGCAATTATGCGTCCGTGTTTCCATTGTAGTTTGCACTTTAGAGCCCGGTGCGAAATAGCCGCGCGACGCCGTTATACACGGCCCGGAGATCGGGCAATTAAATGAAAGCCTAATAAACAAACGGCTGTAAAGCACGCGGATGGAGATGTACACGTAAGAAGCCGCGGTGGCAGCGCAGTAAAGCCATAAACGGTTCGGTTGAGAGTGTCATACGTGGACACGCCGTGTGTATACCTTGTAAAATACGACGATACGTCGCTCGCGTAAAAAAAAAAGGGAATTAAATAGCGGTGTTACCGAGCGGCCGGTAGGGCCTCCCCCAACCCTTCCCCCCTTGCATTTACAACGTTGTAAACCTTTGTATCTCGTTCCTTATCGCAGACTAATTAATGCACTATAAAACTCTAGTGCTTTAATGCCGAACGATTTGCTCGTTTTGCTCCCTCACGCCCGCCGATTGCATGCTTATTTCGGGGTGACGTCTCGATCTTGCAAGAAGCGCGGAAGGAATCGCGTTTCTCGCGCTTCCTTTTATTTATGGTGCTTCTTTTGGGAAAAAAAGATCTCACCGCAAATCGGCTTGACAAACCGTCTGTGAAGGAAAACGCGAGGAGTCTGTGGCACACCCCTCTGTACTTACACTGGCTGTCTTACAAGCGGAAGCTAACACGCTTACACGCTCAAACTTCCCTTTTATTTGCCATACACGGAGATTATTAGATCTTAAGATGAGTGTGGAACACGTCCTGAAAGGAAAAGGCCCATTACTCGTGTAGGCATTCGCCTGAAATATTTATTTTAGATTTAGACGACGCGAAATTATGAGCATTCCGTGCGTCAAATTATCCGTAAGCCAAAAAAGAGACAAGGTAAAATTTAAATTTGTATATCCCTTGTCGAATGTCAAAGATGAATCTAAATATCTACCGCGATATTGCGACGTCGCTGCACGGAATGCTCATATAGAGATCTGACAATTAGAATAATAGTTCTGTACAATATAATAATTGCGCCCGAACAGTCTCGTTGGTCCGCAAACTTCAGAAAATGATCTCTCTAGAGCTAGGATCGAGAAAGATAAGAAAATTGAGACGTTAATTAAACTGCAATTAAAATCAAACAGTGCTAACGTAAAAAGTATCGAAGATATAATTACGATTCGTTATAGTTTCAAGTATTGTCGCTGCAGGCCTTCGAAGACCGTCGCGTAAAATTATGCAAGTTATCGATTGAATAATACTCGTAATATAAACTTATTCTGTATGATATCATTAAATACACTAGTCAAAATGATACATGTACTTTGTTTACCTTGCACGTCTTTATGCAGCATGTTTTATGCGCCAACGTTTACAAGAAAATGACTGCGATGCGGAATAGTCGCATATCCAAATGCGCATCGTAGCCGATGTAGTCATCATCTGCGACGACTTTTACGATCCGGCAGTTTATGAATAATAATTAATTTTTATTGAGTATTATGATATTGCACACCGAAAAGGAGAATCTATTTGCATAAAAATTATACCTCTTTATACACCATCTCGTCGAAAAAATTATAAGCTGTGGAGCTGCACGAGTATTCCGTAGCTATGTAAAATACAGAATAACTTCATGATAAAAAATTTAATTCATAAGTGTTATCCTTGACACTACATTGTAAAGGCACATGAATGAGTACTTAAGAACTTAAGTAATTATATAATATGAATAATATATATATTGCTCCGATAATACGGTACGGATTATAGCGTCGATAAAATTTCTAGAATGATTTTTTTCTTGAATTATCATTTAACTTACATTGCACAACACATGTGTATGAAACTTAACATATAGTATTCAAAACTACGAAATTGCTTGATTAATCTTTCTATAATTACATAAACATAATATATATTAAAATAACACAAGTATGAGATTCTAAGAGTAGAATTAAGAGATTTGAATGGAAAAATATTCCATTTTCCTTAATAAGAGGGACTATTCTGTAAATTAATACCTATAATTAAACGAAATTTAATTTCATATTTAATAGATTTTGTAATAATCTTTATTAACTTTGCAGTAATTACTCGTAATAATTGTATATATGTATGTAAAAAGTCAATAGTCTAAGGAAGACAGTTCTTTTCGGCACATATCGATAAGACTAAAAATACACCACATAAATGTGGAAATGTTCACGGCACGCAATAATAAACATTCAGTCGTTGAATGGAACAGCTGTCAGTCGTATCCGTTTTATACATAAGTTTTCATCGTCATGAAATTCCGTTCCTAAGCGATGATCTAAGCAATTGCGCTCAAATCGCGCAAAAGTTTCACGCTCCGCCGTTTCATCTTATGTACAATATAGCTTCACCTCATATCTCAGCTATATACAGGTCCGTTTAATCCTTTATACTCGCAATGATCAGGTGTCTTAGAGCTGAAAGTTATGCTGTGAATGATTGAGAGTATTCGTAGACATGGTATGCACCGGATGCGACGGCGCCGGTGTGTAGAGACTGTGATGCGAGTGCGACTTCGCCCTGGAGAGCTCGCTATAGCGGTCCTGTTCGGGCGGAGCCACTAGGAGAACCGGTCTCAAGGACAGAGACTTGCGAGAGCCAGCCACGCTTTGGGCCTCGTTCACGTAGCCCGGATTTACTTCGCCTAAAACAAATGAAAAATTAATGACACGCTATTTCCCGTTAAATAGACGCAAAGATTTTAATAATTGCTTTAAGAATTGCTTGCTGTTAATCACCTTTGTACAAGGATCCGTTGTTGAAAGGTTCCGGTTGCAGTCTCACGTGTCTAGAAGCCAAAATGAAGGCAAGAGCGGACAAGGTGGCCGCATCCAGAGCCGCGATTGCAGCGAGCGGTATCGCCCATCTCACAGCGCAGGCACCGGGATTGTATCTAAAAAAGAATAGTTTCCTGATTACTGTTTTTCTCACGTTCATTGCTATCGCGATTATGTTTTCAACGTATAAGGCAGTGCTGCTATTATTTATCGCTTCGCAATAATTTGCGTGCGAAAGTATAGCGTCTAATTGAGATATATGATGTTACAATATAAAATCTCTAAGGCGAAAATTTTCTCACTAACGTAGACTCTTTAATGAATATAGAATTAATTTTTTTAAGAGATCCTCTTTTTGTACCAAAAATTAATTTAAAAAGTCTTTTGTGAGTTCGCGATGTCTTCGCAAATTAAACGCCGGATAAGTTGATAATAAAATTCTACTTATTTGTCGATTTCATCCAATTCTCGAGAATCAAGTAAAAACCGCGAGTGTATAAAAGAAATCGCTCAAAAATATTTTTCATTCTTGCTTTCATATTTTTCTTTTCTACGTACGCGCGCGTGACCTGCACAAATACACACCTGGATGCAGCTGCGCCACATACGGCGCGGATCACCGGCGAGTCCCAACCGAGAGGATAGATGCACACTCCGATCGCCATACAGATCGCTGAAAAGAAAGCATCCGGTATATTATTATAGTTACATAAAACATCCAGTTATATATCCAATGTGCTGTCACTGGAAGCCGCTAGACAGATTATAAATATTTCTCGCGCTGTGATTCGTACATGATCGTTTAATTTTTTCTCCTTCTCGAGATAATTATACAGCGCAGAAGCGTGACGAAAGTTTGACGAGAAACGATAAATGGTCAATGTTAGGACTTATTGCGGCAGGTCTAATACACTTTAATAATACGGCGCCCCTTATCCTTATGGTTCTATTATTTGCATCCACATCGCCAGTTAGATGCAGCAGGGGCGTGGATCACGCTCTCGCATTTACACAGACGTAATCGCGCAGGTGGCTATGTGGAGGCCGGTAGTGAAAGGGACTTGTGAACAACCGTAACTTTTCTGCCATTGCTAATACGTTTACCAACGAGCCGAGGCGATATTGTTTCCCGGCGAGCGAGCGATTTCAATGCGCGAATCACGCACAGTGGAACACGGAGCTCGGTTTCAATCATTTTCTTCGATTTTATATACTTTCCATTCATTTTCTACCTGTAGTTTTCATTTTTCACTGTTATATTCATAGTGCTAAATTATGTTCAATTTGAGTCGTTTGTAATAATTATTCCTATCCGCCACTATACTCTTATTAAAAAAAGAATGTCGTCAACTTTACTAAAACAATGTTAATTTAACTAAACCAATAAAGTTAAAATAATACTGTTTTGTGTTAAAATAAATTTTACACACATGATAGTTAAAAAAAAAACAAAATGTTATTTAACTCAAGGTATTGGTTTGAATTTCACACTTTAATATTTAACAGTGTTGCCTTTGTTCGCACTTCGTAGACTTCTACGGTTGGTTTGGTAATTTGCATCTCTTTATTCTTGCTAATTCTGTTTGGCTTTGCTTGTTATACAACATCCTGCGCACGTACTCGCTCTTTATACTTTCTAATGATTTTGTAATGCATATCGTAATCTTCCTGTATACTCCAGGTTCAGAGAGACTGCTATGGGTTGACGGTAAACGCTGCTATCACTGGCTACATCCTATATAATTCCTACAATTCATATACTTGAAATGTCATTTCGCTTCTCGCGGTGATACATTTTCCTCTTCGTGTTTCACGCTACGGATCGAGCGCGACTCGGCGTGTAACTTTCACTGTCGTGACTCGAACATGAGGCAGCGTTAATGTTTGCTTGCAACGAATCTTTGTTGCTGACACTGCCGAAACTTTGCTACCAGATGTATGTAACCCTGGTTATATAAGTCACGCCGTTCGTTTGCCGTTTAATAAATTACACGCTCGTCAACTTGTTAGTCAGCATCTTGCGGCGCATACTGTGCAATTTTCGCGTTATTACGCATACTGTGAGTTTATTCATCGTTGCGTAAAGTAAACGAAGAATTTACCTTATTTGTAACTAAAGCGCGGTTTGTCAACTTTACTGATTAAACATGGAAATTGGGCAGCAAAGCGCATAATTTAGAGATACTACTATGAATCATACATATCTTATCGAGACTACAAGTCGTCATTATAGGAGTAGGTCACCGAGTTGCACTAATTTGGATACAAATTAACGATCGGGATTAGAATGCAGCCTAGAGATAAAGTCTCGATAGTTTACTTCAGTGACTCGACCAACGACTGCACGCACTACCGAGAATTTATTCGTCGTTGTAAAAAGTAAACGAAGAATTTACCTTATTTGTAACTAGAAGATAAAGCGCGATTTTGCAACTTTACTGATTAAACACGAAAACTGAGCAGTAAGGCGCATAATCTAGAGATACTATTATGATGTACATGAATGTGAATCGTACATATCTTATTGAGACTACGTGTCATTAAAGGAGTAGGTCATCGGGTTGCAAAACTAATTTGGATACAAATTAAAGATGCAGATAAAGTCTCGATAGATTATTTCTGATTCTACATATATCGATTCGACCGACGACTGCAGTTGGTTTACGTTAATCATAGAGGCGTTGACGAACGGTATATGCAGACTGGCTTGGGCACGTTATAACGGTCTATTCTACATTTCGCTGGGGCCGCCACACGACTCGTCGGCGACCCGCGGGCGACGATCAGCCATGATTACAATTGCAAAAGAAGAACCTTCGATGCCGCAAGACGTACGGCGTGCATCTCAAAACGCGCTTGTGAAGCGAGAAAACCCTTCGTCTGTCCTCCGTCAGTGACGTGACGCGAATTCCCGATAACGAGCTTAGAAATCGCGACGCGGAAATGCTAAAAGTTATACATGCGCCTGGATAATGCGAGCTATCTGGAGAAAGTATCAGCATATTTAGCGCGAATGAGCTATATTCGTTTCCAATTATAATTTCAGGCAGAACACAACTGCATCTCAACCGGAAAGAAGTCTACACTGTAAAAAATTTAATGTCCCAGAAAATCCACTCTAAATTTTGTGTTAAAATAACTCATTCATCGTGTTATTTTTTTACATTTAGAAATGTTATATCGACTAAAAAATGTCGATATAACATTTCTAAATGTAAAAAATAACACGATGAATGAGTTATTTTAACACAAAATTTAGAGTGGACTTTCTGGGACATTAAATTTTTTACTGTGTATAGTCTATATATATAAACGTTACAATGATAAAATATTCTGCTTCTCACAGTCAGACTTCTTTTAGGTCAAAATGCTGTTATGCCTAAAATTATAATTAGAAACAAATTATAATTTAATTATAAAAAGTTTCTAATTATATATTTATCTATTTATATTTCTATTAATACATGTATAAATGTAGCTTATTCTTTTTATATCTTATGTATCTTATTATTCTTAAAAGAAGCAGCGTATGCCTTTATATCTTCTTCTCTATTATATAAAGAAAAGGTAATTGAAAAGAAAATAATACACGCATGAAACTGCCTAGTAACTCCTCTAACGATTCAGCCAACGTGAATGTTTCCGATGACACGTCATCCATCAATGAAGCGGCTATTCTTGCAATACCATTATTATTATTCCAGTCGCATTACGCAAGCAACGTTGGATTATTTCTGCGGTTATCGTGCGCTTTCTAACTTACTAAAAGGATCAACGCGACATTATTCACGAATAAATAGTTGCGTTCGCGCAATGAAAGATGCGTCGCGAACAATGAGCTTTTAATTATTTGGCACATCGGCACACATATTTAACAAGATCTCTCCTATGAGATTTTTGCGAGAGTTTTCTCGCGCGCGCGGGACCGTGACACGAGGGCAATTTCCGGCGACGATCGGCACCGTTTTAAAGCCGTTATCTCCGCTGTCGGAGATGAAACCGATCGATAGTGTTCAGTACAATAAAGACGCGTTAAGCGGGGCGATTGCGTCACTTCCCGGCTTCGGCTTGGCGCGGCGCATCAGCGCAATTTGCAATTGCATCTGGTTGATAAGGAATTACGGTCGAGATTGCGGTAACGGGCCGCGCGAATTAGCCTAGCTAATCCGTCGCGCTTTCTAAAACAGATGCGCCAGTTGCGGAACGACTCGCGCGACATTTGGCATTTATAGAGATCGACGTTTTCCCGATGAGGCAGGACCGGATAATTACCTGACACCACTTGCATCCAGGCGCACATGTAGAACACGGTGGTGCTCTGGCAGAAGAAGAACATGAGCATCGCGCAGATCGCCAGTAGCGCAATTATCACCGCGATCCCGACTAGAATCGTGCTGGCGCGGAAGGGAACGTTGGCGATGGTCGACAGGTCGTCCAGTCGGCCGATGCATTCCTCGCCTAACTCACCTAATTACGAAACATTTCGAATTAATAATATATGTAAATAATTATCCCTCAGGCTTGGAATGTAGACAGGTTATTATCAAGAAAATCAAATTGTTACATATTGAAGGAGATAAAATTTAAATCAATAACTTGAGTTAAATAACATTTTGTTATTTTTACCATGTATATCGAAATTTATTATTTTAACAAAAAACAGTTCAACTCCATTGGTTTAGCTAAATTGACATTGTCGAATTAACGACATATTTTTTTTAGTAGGAGCAGTGGCGACCTGTATATAGGAATGGTTATAAAAATAACTCAACTTGAGTATATAAACTACGAATTTAACAGTGCAAGTAATTATATGCGATAAGATAAATGAAAAAAGATATTACGTCGCCTTATAAATTACAGTGGGTTACTTCCGTTGCTCGAACAAAGATATAATAAGCTAGATTATTTCGAAATAATTTCAGACACACACAGTCGGGTAGAAATGAAAAAGAAGATTCTCTTTTCTTAAACCAAATCATTAACAGTAAAGACTCATGGTCGAAACGTCTTGACGATTAATTGATCAAAACCAATAGTCGTAATAGTCAGTTATACATCGAATAAAAATAAAATTCTTTATTCTCTCCTTACATCGAGTAAAAATAAGAAGGCACAGCGCAAACGTACCGTTACCGCCGTAGCTGCACCTGGTCCACAGGCCGAATCTCCCGGGATTCTCGTGCTCCAGGTCGCCGAGCCATTCTGGAGTGACAAACGCGACGACGCCGATGATGGCGTAGCATATGGTGAAGATACCCCAGAGCACGCCGATCGCCTTGGAATTGCGGATGTAATTGGTCGCGTACATGTGCGAGGACTCGACGTACTCGATCTTCGAACCCATCCCGGAAGCCGCGGCGCGATTTCCCGTCAGCGCGAACTCGATGTCCCGATCACCGCGGCGCGTCGTTCAACAGCGATTCTTTCTCGCGCAGCCGTTCGACCATAACATCGGCTCCGCAATACCCACACGCGGAACGGACGGAGGCGCGACCGCGAGATTAAATCGCCTGATTAAATCGCCGGTAGGGAGACGGCGATTCCGCGGCTTCGCGCCGGCTCGCGCGGTTATCACACCCGCGTCGGAGAAGGTCGTCGCTCTTGGACGCTCCGGTCTCCAACGAGATCCGATTGTTCGACAACAATGGGATCGGCGGTGCGCAAGACGGAGGAAACTCCCCGCGCGCGCGAACAAAGAACCGTACTTTCGCTAAACGACACACACAATCACGACACGATTTTGCTATTAAGTCGCTCTCCCTTCGCGGAGTGGATTTTCTCCGAATCGCGGAGACTTGTCTCTCTATTCTTTGTTTCACAATAGATCACGGGTCTTCTGTTCACTTCCCAAGCTGTTTCCCCATCGCCGGTCCCGCTGTGTTTAGAACCAGCGAAATGATCGCACGCTCGTGTCCGCGTTAAACCAACGGCTGCGCCGTCCGTGACATTTACGTTCGAGCACGTTCACCAATCGCTGAGTCGGCCTGAGTATCTTTCCTCCGCTCGAGTGACGTGTCTTGGAATGCAGAAGGATGCACGAAACGAGCTGTTGATAAAACGAGTCTTTTAAATAACATGTATACCTAAAATTTAATCTATCATTTTAAAAGAACAAATAATAGTCGCGACAGTTAATCACGAATGACGATAAGGAACGTAAAAGACGTCTGGCTGTGTGAATTCTCACCCGGCAGAAAATTCAACTTACCGTAACGTTTGGAGACCTCCTCGAGAAAGGTTCCAAAGAACACAAATGACGTCAGCAACGTCAGGACCTTATGGGAATGCGTGAAAGGAAAGAAAGCAAGCCAGGTGGAAGGCGCACGATCGACGCGACGAGTGCTACCGGCGCGATCGCTGGAGCCTTGCTGCACGTCGCGAGATTTTGCACATGCAGCGACGGGCACATGCACGCGACGCGGCGACCGGCTACAAGGACGAGCGGAAAATGCGACTTGGAGGAAAGACGAGGAGCGCGATACGACGAGGCGCTTCAAGATGGCCGTCCAGGTGAGCCCAGGTTGCCAGGTGAATGTGTGAGAAGAGGGAACAAGAAAGAGGAGGAGAGAGAGAGAGAGAAAAAGAATGACTGAGGAGAGAGGAGACCGCGGTAAGGGGTCCCTCACGGATCCCAGGCGGCCACGAAGAGAAAGGTGACACCAAAAAGGTGGCACGCCGCTGTGTTGTTGGCTTTGTCGGATTTCTCCGTCTGGACATAACGGCTTTATTCGTTGGGACTTACAAACGAGGAATTATTTTCTCTAGCTAACACAAATATATATGTATTTCTTAATCTTAATGTTATTAATTAATCAGTATATAATAATAATATTTATATGTTTATGCCAGGTATTTTAAATCGTCAGATCGGATGGAATTAATAATTAATTCTATATATCTTCTATACATATATATGTATATGTATGGATTAATTATATATATTATCAATAATTATCAATATAAGTTATATATAATATTATGTATAATATTAATTAAATTAATATTATTATACATATATTTCCTTAATTATATATGCATATAGAATATGTATATTATATTCCATTATTTCAAAAAATCTTCTAGAAATATATACATTTATACACACGTATCTACATGTATACATATATAATTTCTTTTTATATTAATAAGACTAATATAATATCGATAAAATCATTAAAAAAGTAAAATTATATATATTATTTTTTAATTTGTATATTATAACAATCTTATTAACAGTCTTTTCTAATAGTTTAAAAGAGTTCTCATAGTCATCAACATTATATTAATTTTTTTTATAAAAAATCAATATATCTTTCTCCTAAAATTCTATATATAAAATTATATGTAGAATACCTGTATATAAAATCTTAATTCTAATTACGTTAAATATTAATAAAAATAGATTTCTTAAATAATTACTGCGCAATGAGCGCGTATTATCAATAACAAATGAGTTTGAAACAAAGTTTTATCGATCGCGCAAAGTATATTTTCGGCGAATCGGCGTCCTCTGGTGACTTCCGATTGAAGATTCATGACAATCCGGCAATTCGTAGCAGATGGTAGCAGAACAATAGCAGAATAGGATTCGAAAAATGGCAAACCGCACGGTGAAAGATGCTAGGTCTATTCGCGGGACAAATCCGCAATATTTGGTCGAGAAGATCATCAGATCCCGGATATACGATTCTAAATACTGGAAGGAAGAATGTTTCGCTTTGACCGCCGAACTGTTGGTCGACAAGGCAATGGAGTTAAGGTTAGTAAAAGCAAAATATAACCTCTACAGATACGGGATAGATGTAAAATCTTACAATTAGTACAAGCGAGAACAAAATAATTTCTAGAATAATTTTTTTTTGTATGAGGCTTTGTTTTTTAGATAGACTTCGGTTTTGAAAGTCTATCAAGTACACTTGACATCGTCACTCTGAATATGTCAAGTGTACTTGATAGATTTTCTAAGGCCTAGAATAAAAAATGATTTTACAATTTCGACTTATTTTGGCACGAGGAATCACCTTGTTCTTGCTCGTACTACGATTTTGTACCCATATATATGAGTGAGAAGTTTTTTTCTCTAGTCGCTTACATTTATTCTTTCAGATTCATAGGAGGGGTATACGGCGGCAATGTGAAGCCTACGCCATTTCTCTGTCTCATATTGAAAATGCTTCAAATACAGCCTGAGAAAGACATCATAGTCGAATTTATAAAGAACGAGGAGTATAAGTACGTTCGGGCTTTGGGTGCATTGTATATGAGACTGACTGGTTCTTCCCAGGACTGTTACAAATACCTTGAACCATTATTCAACGATAGCAGAAAGCTCAGAATGCAGAACAAGCAAGGCGTATTCGAGCTCATATACATGGACGAATTCATCGACACCCTTCTCAGAGAAGAGAGGTCTTGCGACGTTATTTTACCGAGAATTCAAAAAAGACACGTTTTAGAAGAAAATAATGAACTAGGTACGTTATTTGAGTATATTTTCTTGACTATATTACTTTTATTTAGCCAACCTTCTGTTATATGTTTAATTATGTTACACAGAAGCGAAGATATCGGCATTGGAAGACGATATGGATGATGGCATCGAATCGTCAGAGGAAGAAGAGATTGCACCAATTAAAGAACTGCCACGCAAGAGGCCGGATGATCACGAACGAGACAGAGACCGTCACAGAGATAGGGACAAGAGGCATTCCCGATCCGAGAAGAAATCCGAGAAGGAAAAGCCAAGATCGAGAAGTAGGGAGAGAGATAGGGACAGGAGAGAACGTAAACGCAGCAAATCGCCGAAATCTCACTCGTCGTCGCACAAAGATAAGGACAGGGACAGAGATCGCCATAGAAGAGACGATAGAGAGAGGGAGAGAGAACGAGAGAGAGAAAGGGATCGAGATCGTAGAAGAGAACGCGACAGAGCTAGACATTAAAGTATGGTAATATGGAAAATGGTCTTGACGAATTTATATAAACTTACCGAGGCAAGAAATTAATCAATTGGTTATCTTGCGTCAGTTCTTTTTATGCTCTTATCAATGTTCGTGTATTTTTTAACGCCGGTGTATATAACATTTACAAGAATTCAGTATTAAAATTACAACATGCACCCGGAATCAAATCCGTTGTAACATATTTAAATCTATGTACATTTTCACATTATTTGCGTTATATTACAATTGCTTTAGTAAATAAAAAAATATTAATTACCGATGCATAATAATGGACGAAAAATAACTATACTCCTGCCTTTGGAAACTTATGACGAGGACGTTTTACTTTGGAATCCTTGATGCATCTCACACATTTTCGAAATTTGGTCGACAAATATTTCTATCAATTTTACATATTATTTTCCCTATGTATTTTACAAATTACTTGGCAATGTTTAAAATGTGGGCGAGTTCAGAATGAATAATCTCTCTTCCTCTTTTTTTATCCACTTCAACAGCTTGCTCACTGCCTCAATGGCATCTGGTTTCGTTACCAGAGGCTCAAATGTTACGTATAATTCGAAACCAGAAGCCACCTAGAAGTATTTTTTTAAATTAAAGAATAAGTCTCGCAAAAATTAAATTAACATGTAAAATTTTACTCACCCACGCTAACATCGTTTCCTTATCTAGCTGCTGAAATATAAGTTTTAAGGGTCGACTAGGAGAATGCAGTCTGTGATGCAAACACTGATAAAGCCCCAATAGTCTGAAAAGATATATTACATATTTTTTATTATACTAATATTGCATCGTTTATTAAAAAGTTCGCATTTTACCGTTCTATCTCTTCATCCGTTGTGTAAGGAGGTTTAACTCCGGGACTCCAGAATTGCGCGGTACTTTTGCATTTGTATAAAACGTGTCGCATCTCAGGTAATCCAATGTCGGCAGTCGTTACCGTCGGTTTGTTCATAGACTCGTTTATCGCTTCTAGACAATTTGTCCGTCGCAATTTCTCCACGATTTTCTACCAAACATTTTTCAATAAATTGACATTTATACACAAATAGTTACTGCTTAATTAATTTAATTCCCCGCAATAACTCTTACTTGTTTGGCCTCTGATAGCACGAAAAACACGTCCCTATCAACGGTGAGCAACAACAAACATGCCTGGCAATCTTCTGCCAGATAGGACACATGACCGTGCATGTATCCATTGGAATCGAATTTCGGTAGGCAGATCGGCGTCCAGCTTTCAGCAGTTTTGAGCGACTCGGAACTGTCCACCAGATTTTGTATTATATGTAAATCCATTGGATGTAGGAAAAATTTATTCATCCTAACTAGTGTGACCAATTGATTGTTAGCTAGAAGTATGGCAAATACTAAATTCTGAAAGATAGGTTTCTCTTAATGAACCGGCACTTGAATTCATTTCGATTTCACAAATAGTATGCACATTCCATAAACGTTTTTTACCTTGATCTTAGCGCAAGTTTGAATGATGGTCTGCGTAATGGAACTTCTCATGGAGGGAACCAAGGGCAAACATTTGATGGCTCCTAGAAAGAAGGCGGGCTCTCTGTCCATAAAGTTCAGTAAATGATCTATCAGTCTTTCACTACCAGTTAATAACCTTCGTAGATCAAAGTTTCTCCTCTGATCGTACACTCTATTCAATTGAGACTGCGTCAACACAGAGATTATCTGATTATATACATATCTGCAATATTAAGTGTGTATAAATATCAGATGTAAAATATTTTATCGAGAAATTTCGTTCGGAAATGTGACACATACGTTAACTGTAAGGTGAGCTGAGGTACGCTTTCCAAAGTTTTGGATACCGCCACTAAGATCAACGGACCTTTCACGACGAAAACAAAGTTTGTATCGCCAGCGTGTACCGATCTGATCATATCGCTGCCGGCTTGGACAAACGATACTAAAGCCTGCATAACACCCATAACTGTGACTAGTTTGTCTTCTGAACTGTATCTAGAATATATCGGCTTCCCCGCCTGACTCAGGATAAAAATGTGCTTCTTCTGCGCCAGCCACGCTTTGCAACGCAGCGGGTCTCCGTCTATGTTACTTTGGCCCAAACGATGCGCGACATCGTCCTAAAATGCAACATATCATTCGGTTTACGTTCCAAAACGATCTGGCAGTTCACGACGTCGTCATGCACCGCAATTAAAAAAAAAAAAAGGCAGATTCCGCACAAAATCCTAACCATCTCCGCGTCGTCGAGGGAAAGGTTTTTCTCGGATTCTGCCGGACTGGCGGAGGTGGGTATCGTGGGTATCGTGGGAACGTCCTGCACAACGTCCTCCTGGATCTCGGAGATAGTGCTGGTCGTGCTCTCCTTCATCTGCCTGTCACCGTCGATGCTGCTACTCATCTCCTGCTCGTACTCGTCGAAGCTGTCGGTGGTGACGAGCATCGTCTCCGTGGAAGCGCCGGGCTCGATCCCGGGCTCGGCAATGCCGCCGCCGTCGATCGACTCGACGACGATCGGCTCCTTCGCGGCCATCTCTACCACCGAAAACGTCCCTGACAAGTCGCTACTCCGACCCTCCGGACCCTCGCTGGCGTTTGACATTTAACATTTAACAGCGGCAGAGGCGGCAGACCGACGCAGATCGACTGCCATTGCTCGTTAACTCGTCGTGGAACTGCTAGGTGCGCTGTTGAGGAACTTATCAATGAATACGATGCAATTATACATATGTATATGTGTAAAATAATATATATATACAATTATAATGTATAAAATATGCATTTATATAATTATTTTTACATACCTGTGTTAGACAAAATCGGAGAGATCTGAGAGCGATCATGCCAACGACCGGCCTAGATTTTTCTAATTTTACACTTCCACTTTTTAGCTAAGTAACAATAAATTAAAATTCCGTCCGATAAAAATGGGACAGAATCTGTATTAGAGGCCCTCCACCACCCCCGCCGATTTCAATCAGCGGTCCTCTTTTCTTTGGATATAAGTTTTTTTTTTTTTATTTTCTACTTTTTTATACAGTTTATTAGTTTAGCGCAAAATCTAATACATTACAAAAAAGATTACATGATACAAAATTACACAGTATATAATATAAGATATACAATTAAATTGCGTACATTCAAAGTGAGTGGCGACGAAATGTACGAGGTGGGGCTGGTGGGTGGTGGGGTGGGCGACTACTACGCGAGTCAAATGAACGGCTAGTCGGACCCTCATTTGGTTGATCGAAGATAATGAGCTTTCGCAGGCGTTGATAATACATAAAACCTCGCCGAGCACCGACGAAAACAACGAACCGCGAGGCCACGCATCGACTTTGCAGGTAACGTCGTTTCAAAGCTTCAATTGAATTAATTCAACGGTAACGTCTGGTGCCGCGGCGGCTCAGAGCGTTCGAACGTGATTGGCTGGGACGCGGGGGCTCGATTCGCGAGCAGCCAATCGCGGCTCCTGACTTTACGGCGACGCGGCGCAAGCAATACGCGACGCATTCATATCGGCGCGAGAGCCGCGAGACGTTGTCGGTCGTCAGGGTCGTGTATTCCTTTCTCGTGAATCTCGTCAACGAGAAGAAATCCGGTTGCAAAGAACTGCGAGCTGAGCGTGTGCCGAAACTGCCGAATACTCCGTTCCTTCTCGTGTCGACGGTGCAACGAGCGGAATGCCGTGCTTGGACGCCGTACGTGTATCGTCCTCCCGAATATGATTTGTCGGTTCTCCCGCAGTGCACCGTGATCAGTGAGTTAACTGTACGTGAAGAACGAATGTTTCGAAGCGAGATATATTTCAATCTTAATAGACAATCGTCGTCCCGTGTGTGTCGCAGTGAAACGGCAACTCAACATTCACGTCTCCTCCGTTTCGATTCCTCCTTCGAACGAGTGAATCGCGCGAGAAAGTGCCCTAATAAATTATAGCTCTCATTATTAACCGCGAGAATTAATAATTAATTGATTGACTAAAGAGAACGATGGCGCGCGTTTAACGTTCTCCCGTGATTGTGCGTAGGCCTCGTCGCGATCGCGAACGACCGAGCGACCTTGCGTGCGAATAACATCGTGAGTGCGAACAAATAATTCAAGTGTGCGTCCACGAATATATTCCGTCTTTCGTTAAAGGATTTATTAAAACAGGCATGGCATTTGTTCATTCGTCGTAAATGGTACAAATTCATTCGTACGTGTGCTCTTCTCTTTTCCTCACAATCTCTACTTTATGGAAAATCCAACGTTAAATTGTATCATTTGTAAAGATTTCTTCCTTATCCCCAGGTTCGCGAGTGTTTGCAACTTGGCGAGACGCGCCTCTCGCTACGCGAGTCGGATGGCGTCGCGGCGTGACGTCGCAGTCGTTTCAAATCACGCGCGAGTAAACAGCGGGCGCGACAAGCCGACAAGTGTCTCGCCGGCTACTCCGGAGTCCGGGTTCCGTCTCGCGAAAGTCGTGACATTTTCTTCGATCGGTGTCTGACAACGACGCGGCTCGCAGGATGGGTGTCACTGTGTAAGTAGCAATATTCGTGTGTCTCTAAAAATACGCGTGATTCCTTATCGCGCGACCGGCCGCGCACGAGAAAGAGATGCGTGTCGCGTCTCGCCGAGAGACGCGCAGAGGTTATGTCGCACGTGTGCCCGGCGCCGTCAGTGCGCCGGGTTATTCGCGGTGATCGACGACGCCCGTCCGATCCCACGGTAGCGAAAGAGTGATTTGTTTATGTGCTATCGGTGCAGGCTGCAGCAGTACCCGATGATCGAGAACCGCACCGGGCCGCAGACCATCGAGTTCCTGACGAAGCGGGTCGTCGCCCTCGGCGCCGTGCAGGTGGGACAGTTCCTGGTGGACTGCGAGACATACATGTCGGTGCCGCAGCTTGGTAAGTACGTTTTTCCTTCTGCGATTTAGCGTCCGCGAGTTCGAATTGAGTTTCGCAAGTTTCGAGCTGTGCTGCAGCGTTAGCTAGTACGCGGCCGTTGGCACAGATGGCCGCTGCTTGGCCATTCGGAAATTCATTTCGCGACAAAAAACGCCTTGTTATTATTTGCAATTTATTAAACCTTTGAATACACGCCGTTATAATGGTTCTCCTATAAATGGTTTTTTTAAAACGAAATAATGCAGTGTCGAACTGCAGCGCCTCTCTGCGTTTAGAGTGTCTATATTACATCATATACTCATTTTTAGTTTACGGCATATTACATTAAATTGCATCAATAAGACTGCGGAGATGAACGTAAGAGTTAACTGTATCGAAAGAGATTTTTTTCGTAAATTTAGAAATTAACGTACACAAGTTCAACGGTGGAAAATATTTTTTTAAATTATTTAAGATATATTTTAATATTACAATATCGAAGCTTTTTCTAATATTTTTTTATTCGAAGTTTTTTTTAGATAGTTATTTTCGCGGTTGATCATTTCAGTGATTAGTTTGGATGAAAAAATAATAATTATTACTACGGATTGTTAATTCTAATAGGTAGTCGAATGGACAGTTCGCTTCAATTACCAAGAAGCGTACGTGTATATAAATGATGCATTAAATTGCTGTAGTTTAATTCGTTATTAATTTGTAACATATAGAGATACGATGCATTATGGTGTAAAGCAGCAGATGAGCAAACTCCGATCACGTATCAATGAAGCTCGTTCCGCAGCTGAGCTATTTGTAGAACTTCGCGTCCAGCTCGTAGCGAAAGCGATTAAACCGATACTCTCAATGCCTGCTTTCAAAGTTTTAGAAATTACTCGACACCTCGAAAAATCGATATTCACTGCCAGTTTCCAAATTGCTGAAGATCTCTAGGCGTTACAAAATAACAGAAAAATAAGACTCAAAAGAATAAGTAAAAAAACGAAATTATTCGAGTTGTAAAATTATCAAACGGTATTATTCTGAAAATATAATGTAATTAAAAAGTTTATTATCCATTTTCTTGTTGGATCCATAAAAATACTGAAAATCTGTGCAATTTAACGGTATTTTAAAAAATATTTTATAACATGCCATAAGCTGTCTTAAATTTTTTTCGGAAAAAGTTTTCCAAATGTGAATAATTTGGAAATTTAATTTTTTATAGATTTTGTACACTTGTACTTTTCTAACATTGTTTAATGAATATAAGGTTTATGAGAGGTTTAGGCAACAAATTAATTCAATTAATAGATATACTTATCTTTTTTTCTCATAATTTGTCTCTTCTTTTGGCGTTTATACATGTGTATATGGGTCTCTATACAAACACGCAAGTGTTGGTTCCACCGGAAGTTATTAGCGAGATTGTATATCCAATACATCATTCGTTATATCTAGAGAGGTGTAAACGCAAACGCTAACAAAATCACTTAAGTACATACTTATACGTAACATAAATACACGGTATTGCCGGTCGAGGGTACGTATTCTCCCCCTTTAAAGCAATAAACCACCGTCGTTGCGTCGGCAAGATCGCGTTTGTGCCACTATTATTTTAATTAAACGAACGTAATGGCCGGTCTCTGAAACAAATTAAAGAGTTTCCTATTACTTGGTGTTCTCGTTACGTCGAAGAGAAAGCGCAGGAGAATCGATATCCTATATATTCGATGGTAGAACTCGAGTTCGCGTTCGGCGAGAAACCGACGAGCAGTCTTGTCTCACCCTCGCGCAGAGAAGTAATTCTTTCTTATATACGATATTACGCGCTCCGTCGCGTCGTTCAAGTTGATTTTCCCGTTGCGTCGCATTGCAGAGACGCAACGATAGAGTGGTAATAGTCTAAATATTAACTCTATGAAGGTACAAATACACACAGCTAATATATATATACCCCTAGGCGTCATTACAAAAATATTAAATCTAGCAAGCGAAGCTAAACGTGGCTCGTTATAGACAAGATCGGTGTGTTTGTGTGTGTGTATATATATATATATATTTATTTCTTTTTGTCTACTCCGTTCTCTTCTCTTTTTTTTTCTCTCTTTCCTTTTTTCTCTTCATTGAAAATACGCCTTCGTAATTTTATTATCCGCGAGGATATAATATGCATATAAGATTTAATCATCTTAGCGACGGCCAGCGCTAATTCCCATTTGAATTGTTTATTGTCAATAAATTGTATAGTGAATTTATTGTCGTTAAGTAGAATTATATATACGCGATCCGTTCTTTCCGTGCGGAAAGCTTTCTGATCACGTTCAGATATAGTATATCGCGTGTAATATATATAAATTCAAACTCCTAGATTGAATCTCTATTTACTTGGTAATCTGATTGCAACGCGCTAGGTATTTTTAATTCGCTAATGCGGATTAAGATTTCAATCTCGAGTTACAGTCTTCGCCGATCTCTAACGTTTGCCATTTTTCGTTTTGCATAAAAAGGACAAAGGGGTAAATCTATATAACACCGTGGCATGTCTAAAAGCTGCTGTCATCGTTAATCCACAATTACACGCACACTCATCCACGAGATTTTCTCGCACTCGAGCACATACATAACCGCGTACGCGACACAGACATCTATTTATCGGGACTATCGTGATCCTAAAACGTGCAGTAATGCGAAATCTGATTCCGGAATTTCACTATTACCGCTACATATTACGACAAATTTTCAATTCACGAGAGTGCACAGTGCAGATTTTTGTTCGATATAGTTTAACATATCTA